ATATGGAATAATTTGTTCAGAAATTAATGTACAAACAGTCTAAATAATCTTAACACATTCTTACACGTATGCTTAACCTTCCTTCAGATTATGTGTACATAAATACAAGTTTTGACTTGTTCCTGAGCTAGACGGAGAAAAAAATGGCACCTTAACTTCTCACAGGACCAGAATACCATTTCCCAGGTTGCAGCTTTTGTAAGATCAAGAAATCTGCTTGTGAAAATGAGCAGTCTTTAAAGAATGCACGAGCCTTCTTAAAGTCACATATGCGTCATTTCCCACTCTTTAATTTTGAAATATTGGGGTTTTAAAACTTGTGGAGAATAATTTTGTTATGTTACAGAAATCTAATTGCCGAAGTTCTAAGCGTCTTTACTAACAATTACTTAGTGCATTGTGATCGTTGAGAAACCAACCATATATGCAAAGGGAGACAGCACAGAAAACTGCTGTAGTTGGGACTGGTTACTTCAATCCCACAGTAACATGTATTTGTTAGAGCAGATGGTCATAGTAAAACACTTTCCTGTTGTATTTGATGAGGCAATAGCATCATTCTTTTTTCCTGTCCATCATCCAAGGGTGATGATTTTTCCCTGTTAATATTCCTTGTCTACACTGTTCACCTACGCTTTTATTAGTTGTATCTGTTTGTATACATATTTGAGTATCATAGGAAATCAGAGGGCACAAGCAAAAGTAGGATTTCGTTATGACAGGTTTTGTGTTATAAAAATGGTAACATACTATCACTTCTGTCTCAAAAACCAAAGCAGTAAAGTAGATTGTATATTATTAATATAACATCCAGTTCTTATTAGTTATCTTTATTTCAGTTATAATGGTGAGTTGGCTCTCCAGTCGACTGCAAGGTCTGACTGTGATAGACAGCGTATGAACATATATAGAAGAGTGCCTCTTAACACAAACAGTTTCAAATGTAAGTTAAAAAAAAGAGATAGATACTAGAGGTATGCAGAAAACAAACAGTGGAGAGAGCAAGATAACAGTGAGACAAAATTAAGCATGATAGATATTGATAAGATTATACCCTAACTCTTGTTGTTACCAAGATATTCAAAAGCCACTAAGATATTCAAAGGTAGTATATCAAAAAAAGTAATTCAGAAGAAAGCTAAAGAAAACCAATGAGGCAATTTTACATATGACTGTGATGTTTGTACATGGGGAGATTTATATTAAGGGACCAAACGTGGCTCTACTAGGAATAAAGGAAGTTTCCCTTATGTCTGGCTGACTGCTTGTGAATCTTATCACAAGATTCACCCCCACTAGTTTAAAAGAGTGACAGCTGCTCACTTCTTTCAAGGTTTAATTTTAACTCATGATATTACAGACATTTAGATAAACCTTAGGCCTCTGATTCAAACTGCCAGCTCCACTGCTAGATAGTGGAGAGAAGAGCACGTATGAAGAACAGGTCATCTCATTCTTGAGCAGGTGTCTAAGATAGGTCTGATTTCCTGTCATGAAATGCAATATTCTTCGGTGAGAATAGAAGCCTTGATAAGCAGGTTATGCTACATGCTGAGCTGTAGTCGGTTCAGATTAGGTGAGGTGAATACTGATCAAGCAAGAAAAAGAGTAAGGAACACGGGCAGCCTTTGGTAGAGTGAAGTGGCGACAGACTGAGCAATTATATTAAAAAATAAAGGATATATGAATAGATATAAATTCAAATAAATGAGCAGATACATTCTAGAGAACTCCTGATACAACTTTCTAGGAAACTATTTTAACTGTAGGGTCATTATACAAAACATAAGTACCTCCTCCAGTCATATTTTAAGAGTACCACAACTTCAGTCCTTTCAAGGAAAAATTGCAGGCATATATCTCTATGTATGTATGTGTCTGTATGGTCTGAGCTCAGAGCAGATAGATGGGTCAGTCCAAGCACATCAGCCCAGAGGTGACCCCTGTGAGTGTTTTTGGCTGACTGTAGGAAAATCTCTGCCCACCATACAGATGCAACTGGCACTTGACATGTACCGAAACACATCTACGAATCACTCAGGATTCTGCATGGTTTAGTAGGCAGCAGGCACCTGATACTTACACCTAAATTACCTGCCAGATAACAGCACTTTCTTTCAGGTTTCTCTGTGGTTTTGCTTTCTGGGAGCAGGCGGAGTGGTGGGCAGGAGAGGTTTAGTCGTTAGTAAATGTACTTATTCAAGGAGAAATTAGCGACCCATTAGAGTGTAAGGGTCCTAGTGATAGTGAAAATATTTGCTGGGTTTTTAATTAACTTATGAAACAAATTCTGATACTTGTTCCTTCCAATCTGTTTAAGTTTTTCCTAGCTGTAGTTTTAATGGTGACCATTTAACTTTTTCCCCAGAATAACAGTGAATGAATGCACATCAAATCCTGCTGGCCCTGACGATAACCCTTAATGTGAGGTTCCAGCTAATAGTTTCAGATGTACCTGCCATCCAGAATACAAGGAGCCACGTAGTGAAATCCCCATAAATCATTGTGTGGATGGACTATGTCAGAATGGATCACAATGTGATGATATCCCTGGCGAGTTTAAGTGTCATGATCTGACTAGTAAAAATCACTTTTGTCATGAGGCATTTGGGTTTGCCAAAAGGAAATGTCTGAAGAATGCAAATGCGACATTTCTGGAAAATGATTTTAAATACTCTGCTGTTAAATTTCTATTATCTAAATTCATAAAGTATCTTTTGAGAACCTGTAGAAGAAAAATAAACAGACAGTTACTCATTAATTTTTATAGGAAATAGCATATTCTTAAGTATTTCTACCGAATCTGTTTTGCTGATAAACTTTATACAGAAAAAAATTTATATAATATTAGAATTGGGCCCTGAAACCATCACCCCTGTTTTTCAGCATAGTATATTAGCTTCAGTGATACCTGTCAATGATCCAATACTTTGATAACTAACTCAAAACGTCAAAACACAGAAATAAAAACATACTTAGGTAATGATCCTTATTTACAGTCTTTAAAGTTATTATGAGCTTTATTTTTAATGTATCAAATAAGAATTTATATTGACTTTTCTATATTCCGTAATTCCACTTGGAGGAGAATGTCATATAACATGTAGCAGTTATAGGTATATCTATGTATTACTGTTACCGTTACTGATTAATGTTCCCATTTTACTTCTTTATCTTATTTTTTTATAATTTTAGGCAGTACTTCAATAAGCAGATGTTAAAAATAAGCCAAATATGCTTGAATTTTTAATAGCAATCAACAGGGATGAAAATTTCAGCTATGTCAAAACATTGTGCGGCTGGTGTTTGGGATGGAATAGAAACATAGCTTGGAGACACCTTTCTGCATCTACTGATTTAGAAGCCGAAGTGACTGCATGCGTAGGGCAGTTTTAATATGCATTGTCTTGTATTTATGCCTCTAAGGTTTGTTATACAAGCCAACATTTCTAAAGAACAATACGTTTCAGCAATTTACCCTGATGGTCAGAAGGTGCTGTCTTACCGTATGTAACCACCCGTACAAAAACTAAAAATTCTTCCAGGCCAGGAGCACTTCAGTGGTGCCCTAAGGACATGGTTTACATTGCTTTTAATTTGAAGAGTATGTCACACACTGTCCAAATTTGGTGGAACTTTTTATTTTCTGTAATAATTTAATCACACTGAATCTGCACTTAAGAAGTGTTGTAAAACTAGGGTTGTGGCTAGATGTTAAAGCTACCGCAGTACATTGTAGGAATTTAGATTTGTTTGAATGTCTTTGACCAGAGATTTCTTCCTTTTTCTCATTGTTGTGTAAAATGCTGATGAATGCAAAGTCAGATGTGATGTAACTCACTAGCACACTGGACTCTTATCTGCAATACCTATGCTACTTATGCAACACATTCCATTATAAATCTTTTTTTGAATGAGATGTGAAGTTCAGATCTTCTACCAGACTTGGTATCCAAGTTTGTGAGACATTGTAATGAATTATTTTTAGCTCGGTGAACCAAATCCCTTGTTTAAGTCTTTCGTGGCTTTTCATGCTGTAATTGTTAAATTATAATAAATTGGTCCAGTCTCTTTTGATCTTTTCTGGAACATTATTTTTGCAAGAACCTAAAAATCTTTTGGAAACTTTTTCAGTGGTCTCTGAAAGAGAAAATAGAAAGCTTTATACAGTTACAGCAAAAAAGTCTGAACTTTGAAACTCAGTGTTTTTATCCAGCACACACGAAGGTTTATATTTATTACTGTTTATTAGATTTGAAACCAATTGCATTTCAGTAAAACAAAGAATATTTACTTGCAATTACTTACTGAGCAAGTTCTAAAATAAAGGCCCTATGTCTTCTACTAGCCCCATAATTTTTTTGTTGGATGATGGCTTTAGAAACTGTCATGCCTTTGCCAATATGCCCTAAATGTAAAATTTAGATTCAGATTTTATCTTTGAATTTGTTTTTTTATTTTTTATTATGTGTTTCAATAGGAAACAAGGACACTTAGTGTTTCATAAGTTTAGGTTTCTCATTAACTATGAGTTGGTTGTCAACTCTTGTAATATCTGCTTTGTAACAGAATTTAAAGGGCAATTTTGGGTTTTTTTTTTTCTTGGTAAATATGGGATATTTTCTTAAAGATAGGACAGAACCTCATGCTAAAAATGTGAAGGCTTTTATCTACAGTCTTCTTACCAATATTTCAACAAACTTATAAATATCTGCCTAAAACAACTTGAAGAAATTGTGACTCAATTAACTTTTCATGAGGAGCCACTGTATCTTGAATATTTTTGATTATTATTGCAAATATGGCCTTATCACACAGTAGTTTTGCTCCATTTAGAATCACTTTGTATGTGAAACTGAAACACTTTGTCCTAGATAAAGTTTCAACATATAAGAAAATGAAAGTACTTACCAAGACCGGAATTGGTCTTGTTTGTCTATTTTCTCACATTTAATGTGATGATAACATTTTTTCTCTTCTATTGCTCTGTTTTTCAACAGGTTTTACTGGTCAGTTTTGTGAAGCAGAGGTTGCTGGCTGCCTGTCACAGCCATGTGGAGCCTTCAGCATCTGCAATGATACATTGGGTGGCTATCTTTGCTTCTGTGCACCTGGTTTTATAGGTGGGTCCAAAGATTCTTGGGTTATTGGTTAACATCAGTTTAAGTTAGTCCTAAATGACAGAAAACAAGGTAATTCAGAAGTAACAATTTAGCAGTGTCTCTCTCACTCAGGCCTCATGCTAAAAATGTGAGGGCTTTTATCTACAGTCTTCTTACCAATATTTCAACAAACTTATAAATATCTGCCTAAAACAACTTGAAGAAAATGAAACTCAATTAACTTTTCATGAGGAGCCACTGTATCTTGAATATTTTTGATTATTATTGCAAATATGGCCTTATCACACAGTAGTTTTGCTCCATTTAGAATCACTTTGTATGTGAAACTGAAACACTTTGTCCTAGATAAAGTTTCAACATATAAGAAAATGAAAGTACTTACCAAGACCGGAATTGGTCTTGTTTGTCTATTTTCTCACATTTAATGTGATGATAACATTTTTTCTCTTCTATTGCTCTGTTTTTCAACAGGTTTTACTGGTCAGTTTTGTGAAGCAGAGGTTGCTGGCTGCCTGTCACAGCCATGTGGAGCCTTCAGCATCTGCAATGATACATTGGGTGGCTATCTTTGCTTCTGTGCACCTGGTTTTATAGGTGGGTCCAAAGATTCTTGGGTTATTGGTTAACATCAGTTTAAGTTAGTCCTAAATGACAGAAAACAAGGTAATTCAGAAGTAACAATTTAGCAGTGTCTCTCTCACTCAGGTAAAATTAAACTTTTGATTTCTGGCACTCAAGAGCTGTGTAAAAGTATTCAGCCGTAAAAAATACCAACCTCAAGGGACTATTTCCACTCCAATAACTCTTCCTTCCTATTTTTTTAGACAGGCGTCTGTCTTACACTGATGAGATTGCAGCTCATGTAGCCATATGCAAGTTAGCCGTAATTTATATACTTTTTGCTTACCATAAGAGTACAACTGCAGTAACAAGGGCCTCAACTGCCAAATATGTATTTAAGATCCTGGGCAGGCTTAATTCTTCATGCTTGAACCCATCCTGCAGATCATTGTCATTCATACCTGACTAGATTAAAATTAGTTTAGATATGTTAGCCTACTGCCATTATAATTCCAAATTGCAGTGTTAAAAATGACTTTTCTAGATTCAGATTCAGATCTTCCTGCTCACCTGCAAGACAACACAAATTGCCTAGGCAGTAGGTAGCCTCCACAGCGCAGACCCCTCCTGGCTAACTGCAGCGACTTTCACTGGCCTCCTAAAGCAGGAGCAGACTAACCTTACAGTCTCCCTGTAACCAAGGAGGACATAGGCAACCAAACAGATTCAGATCTTGTGTAGAGTCAGTTATGTCCCCCATATCTCTTAAAATGTTGCTGTCTCCTAATGTCAGCATCCATTTAGATGAAATAGCTTTTAATGTAATAACTGTCATGTTTGTAACTGCAATCTAATGAAATGCTGCATCTTATTGTAATGTTTTGTTTCTTTTAATTTTATTACCAAAATCTGAAATATAATTGCTTGATGTTACTTATGATAAACTCTTGGCAAAGTCTTATTTTATTCAAATTTTTATTTAAAAGCTTAAACTCATATCTACATAATATTAGATGACTCTTTTTAGTTTATACTTCCTCTGTGGCCAAAAAACAAACCCAATCCTCAAAGCCTCCGAAAGAATCAGGAACTTTTTTCCTTTTCTCTTAAGTAATAATAAATTTGGAGCCAATATTGCCTGTGTGGATAATTCATATATAAAATGCAAAAAAAAATGCTTTCTAAATTTTATTTTACCTTGAGGGCAAGAAAAAGCATTAGGCACATCTCTTCCTGACTAGAAATCAGCTGCTGTAATTTTTTTTTAGCCTTCATATCTGACGATACCTGCTAATATATACTTTTCTGAATATTGATTTTTTAGTGAAAGTATTTTACTCAGATCTTTGAACACAATGGAAACCTTTCCAAATATTTCCCATTGAGATCTTCAGAGCAAAACTGAAACTTAATAAATTAATGAAAAAGGATATTATAGAAAAAGTTTGTGATACCTTATTATTTGGTCTTAGAAAACACACTTGCACTTTTGTCATGTTTCAGAAAAATCCAAGACTTTACTGCCCTTAAAATAATAAAAAATACATTTTTGACCCAATCTATAAATGAATCTATAAAATCCCCATCATGTCTTTGTTGAACATTAGGTCTTACATATACGTTTCAATTTTGCTCTTAAGCAACAAGAAATAAATTCCCTGGAGACAACTGATGGCTCATTGATAAAAGTTCTCTGTACCTAACCTCAGTTATTTCATTTTGTTGTTGCTGCTTGCACTGGTGACTCACCAGTGACATGTTCCTAATGAAGTGAATCCTTCACTTATTTCCAGGTAATAACTGTGAGATTGAGGTGGATGAGTGTCTTAGTGACCCTTGCCACAATGGAGCCACTTGTGTTGATCATCTGAATGCCTTCAGTTGCGTCTGTCAGGATGGATTTCAAGGTATTAAAGGAGCCATAAAACTCCACCTTCATAAATCTGCTGTGAAGTTTACACTAGTATTTACATTTCAGATTAGGTGCATGTATATTTATTTTAGCGTGACTTGAAGTTCTAAACATGAAAATTCTGTGTAAGTACATCTTGAAAAAAGCTATCCGCTATGTTCTCATGGCAGTATGGAAATAGATGTTTTCTGCTGGCTGGTGGCTTACTTATTAGAAATGTGTAAGCTGGGTTCAGTGAAATTTTGCATATAGCATATACTGTTTTCTACAAGCTTTTTAAACGGTTGGCAGATTTAATGTAACAGAATTAGAGAACAAACCTATGTGGGCAAGATTTTTTTCTAGGCATATTTGTACAATTTATATGAGAAATGTAATCACTTTGGTAATTGCATGTATTTTTATCTGCAGTTGTTCTTTACTTTTGGCTCAGGTTGGGAATTTAAAGTGCACCCATTTTCTTTTTAAACAGCATGGATGTTTAGTTATTGAAATATGAAAGTGATATGTAATTTAAATATCACAGGAAAACATATTAAGTTTCTACTGCAAATGATATTCTGAACAACTATAACTTGCACAGTTATTTATTACAATATTCAAACGTTCCAAACTTTGCAATTTTCTGTCATTTTTCACTTATTCTTCAAATGCTAAAAAATTAAGTTCATTCAGAAATATATGTAATAAAATATTTTTAGATTTTAAGTATCTATGTGGCTATGGTAACAATATTCTAGGCTACAATAAATGGTTTCCTTGTCTACATCAGATTTTTTTTTTTCCATTTTCTGAGCGTGCATCTGTTGCCTTATCATGAACACAAGGAGAATTTCCTCTCATGGCATTGCAATGCAGTCTATTATATTTCAGTGTAATTTTTTTTCTGTTCTTCTGTATTGATATGAATTAGTAGGATTCACAGGAATCAATTCAAAGACTGGTAAGACTGTACTTTTACTCCTTTTGGGAAATCACTGAATAACTTAAACATTAAAAATATCGACATACAGCTATAGATGCCCAAATTTGAATATAAAAAGGCTGTCAAATAGATTGCAGTAGGTGAGTTATATTCAGTTAAAATAAATGTAGGCATTTAATTATTTGTGCTGTGTAGTAACTTCTCCCCCTTTGCCTGACTGTATATTTATAGGCACAACTTGTGAAACAAATATAAATGAGTGTCGTTCTTCTCCATGTCTTCATAATGCAACATGTGCAGACCTTATCAGTGGCTATGAATGCATCTGTCTACCTGGCTTTACTGGTGAGTGGTATTAGTACTAAACCTTGTTTTCTACAGAAAGGTAGTCCACAAGGCATCCATTAAAAACATTACTGACTAAATTGCTTGTGTTTCCCTCTCATTTCTCTTTATCTATCTGCCCTGGTCTAATGTTTCATTTGCATCCCAGCAAACTAGAACACTGACTCCATCTGTAAACTAAACAGCACAAGATAAATTATTCTGCATCCAAAAAGCCTTGAAAGCTTCCACACACAAGGAAGATTAGTCAGCATTTAGCAACTCAGAAGTAACTTGTTATGTATTTGTAGTGAGGAGAATTAAATGGGTGCTGACATTAATAAGTGTGGGTCTTTATTTGGCTGATTAATATTAGTTTTTCTTCACAAGTTGCTTGAGATTCTTATGGTGCAAATAAATTATAAATTGGCACCTGCTTGTCTTACTAAAATCTTCAAATCTTTTGTTTCTTTTCAAAGGGGCAAGATGTGAAGCAGATATAGATGAGTGTGCTTCATTTCCCTGCAAGAATGGAGCCACCTGCATTGACCAACCTGGTAATTACTTCTGCCAATGTGTGGCTCCATTTAAAGGTAATGAACACCAAGGGAGAGGGGAAAGCAAACATAATTAACTTTAGAAAGCATTTCTGTCAATTGTCTGCACTCATTTCACTCTTCCTACAGCATTATTAGTCCTTCATTTTCTCAAGCAAAGCTTTTAAAGTGACCAGTCAATTATGCCTTAGGCTGCAAGTAATGTAGAGTAAACTTTGTTTATACCTCCTGTAGAAGTGTTTAGTTATTAATCAGAATGGATACCATAAATCAGCTTGTTAACAGAATAAGATTATTTGCCAGATGAGAGGCATGTGCTCATTGAGTAGCCATCCCAAACATCCATTGTTTTTCTACATATTTTTCTCTCTAATTTGATTATTTGTGGCATTCTGAAATTTATTTTTCCACTCTCAGAAAACAATTTAAGTTATCTTGGAATCCATAAATTGTGTTTGATTACTTCTGTTTATGGTTTTAAAGGGAATACACTTAAAAAGCAAGCTTTAATGTAACCATTTTCAAATACATTTTGGGGAGTTAATTTTAAGTGCTCACTGCTAAAACAGTTTAAAATAACAGTGTTCTCAAGCAAATCTGGTTTAAAAAATAGTCTCAATTAAAGGGGCCTGTTGATTTATAAATTAAATATAAACATATTTTTCCCCCTACAGTTCAATAATGATGCATATTTAGGAGTCCAGAGTAATCATTAAAAGACAATTTTCTTAGTTTCTTGAGACAGCAGGGTTTTTCCCCTTTAGGGAAGATGGTTGCATTAAATTCATCATTCATGAGAAAGAATGAGCTCTAATGTTTGTTCTTATTATTTTAGCTAATGATCAAAATCTAGTTTGTCATTTTTATTAGCTTTAGTTCATGTTCTGATGAATAAAAATCAGTATAATAACAAATCAATGAGTACGGCAGTTTCAGAATTGCCTCTCCTTAGAAAGATGTGAAACCGTTTTCAGCACATGGTTAGAAATACTGCTCTCTTCACTTCTTATTTCACAAGAAATCAGATTTTCAGAAGAGTTCAGTATTCATTTTGATACTTAAGTAAACGATTAAAATTTCAGAAAGTCAACATTTCTGCAGTCATCCTTCCAGAAGCTGGCATTTTCTAATACTGTCAATAGTCAGGTTAAACCCGTCTAGCAAGATTCATAAATGGTAACTGAGAACTTCTGAAACTGTAATATTTGTAGTGCAGGATGCTTAGAATCTACAGAATTCCTGTTAAAGTAAATGGTCTCTGAGACTGTTTACTACTTTATAGCTTTGCTCAGCACCTTTTCAGATCAAATTCTTTCACTGATTTTACCTAGATTTCTGATGGTATTAGTGAAAGCAAAATTAGGGCTGTATTTAAACTCTACCTCAGTCTCACATCATCTGTTTATTTAGTATTAAACTGCTATAAATGTAAGCTTTAACCAATTCACAGTAAGCCAACACAAATAATGACTAGTTAAACTATTTTTTTTTAACTGTGAATACATTCAGGTTACCATAAGGACTAGCTTTTTGTGCACTAATTCCAGCTTACAGAATTGCTTTACTAAAAAAATGAACACGTTATGAATGGTAAGAACTATATAGGTATATCTGATTTATTTTGGAAATATTTGCATAGAATTTCTTGCTTACTTTTCTCTTAGTGGGAAAGTAAAAATTCTATGTTATGAACTCTGCCATTACTTAGAAAGCGGTTTGGAGTAAGTCTCATTTCCCTAATACGTTTTAATGCCTTGATTCTTCAGTCACAAAATCTTACTTGAAGAGTATGTACCACTTTAAAGAAGAACGTATACCACTTGATAAAGATGTGTACAGCAGCCTTCTGCTATATAGGATGTAGAATTAAGGAATTCAGAACATAATTTGGATATTCAGGTACATTCATACAAAAGGTAGCCTGGCAGGCTAAGCCAGAAATGGATTTTATGTATAAAAATTGATTTGCATTTATTTATCTACTTGTCTTTCTCCCTGATCCCTCCAACTATTTTTATTTGTTTATTGTAACAGGAAGTCTATGCATGATTGCAAACAGAAGTCTTAAGATAGTTGTTTGATTTCCCCTTTTCCTTTTTCTTCCCCTCTATTTCCTCTATATTAAAAAGACAGAAACATATTCACCTTTTTTTTTGCTTTCTTTCCATTTGCTCTTCTTTTCAGCATAAGTATAGCTACTTCTCATTTGTGTGTGCTGCAAACTTTTTGATATCCCAGCTAAGTACTTTTATATTTTCGGGTACTTTTACATTTACATTAGTCCTAAGTCAATATGAAAATTCTTCATATATTTTATTAAGGTATACCTTTCTTATTTTTTTTTAAAGCACGTACTTTTCTATGTTGACAAAATGTTTTAGCTTGTTCCATTGGCTTCTATTGCGTAATGGAAGACATCCCAAGCTTTCAAGAACCATAGCGCTTGGGCAGTGATATACACTGGTATTTTTCTTCAAATGTTTGATAGTCCATGCTGTGCAAATTAATGGTGCAAGCCTGATGTGTGCATGATGTGTTAGCCTTCTTGTGGGGCACGGATTATTTTGGAAAATCTGATATCCATGTTATTATCAATGCATGGGGATACTGGAGAAGAACTACTTGTTCTGCCACTGTTGCTGGGACTCTAATAGTTACAAAGCTAATACATTCCTCTCCATCAGTATTCCCCTGAAAGAGGATTTCCCCACAGCTGGTGCAGATCACAACTCTTTCTATACCATGTAATATTTCACTGGAATTCTTGTCACCGGAATTGTTACCTGTGGCTTTTTCTGAATATTGTGCCAAACTCAGCCCAACAGCTCAGAGCTCCAGTAGATACTAGCAGTCCAACTATGCGTAACTCAGAAGGAAACTGAAAAAATGTATAAGACTTCCAGATATGACATGACAACCTTGTCAGCTCCTAATATTGTTCTAATCATTCAATATGATAATTCCAATCTGTTGTTCCCATTACAACCAAATTCCTTCTCCTGTGGAGAAGAAAACGGAATTTCTGTTTTCCAGAGTCATAGGGCTATAAGTCATAGGTCCTGATAAGATGTAAAACAATGGACTTCAAAGTACATATACTTTTATATCATAATGCTTTGGGCCTTGGTTTGGGGGACCAAGATTTGATTAAAGAAACAAAATAACCTGTACCAGGTTATTTTATCACTTAAACTCCTATGTGAACCCACACAGGAAGCCTAAAGGTTATGGAGGTTCACTGGGCATGTGTTGTAATATGGTCAAATGAAAAACAAACAAAAAAAAGATGTAAAGTATCTATCTATATGCATATAATATGATTTTGTGATTTATCACACAGGTATCTACTCCGCATATACTATATGTGCCTGTGAATATGTTTTAATTTCCACAATAAGATGGTCCACTTTTGCTGACCGGTTTTCAGTTTCTATCTGCTTTCATTTGTGTTCTGTCATTGACTTGTATGGTATAAATTTCTATCATACCTCACACTTAAATAGTGGAATGCTATTTACCATATTGACATTTATACGTAATGTAGGATAATGTTCTCTTCATACAGAGATTTAACCTAAATATGTAGAGAAAGTGAGAAAGGTTACTTCTACTAGGTTATAACACATCAGTCCCTGCAAATATGCTACTATTCTAGAAACGTTTGCTGTCCTATCTGAGGTACAACACTGATAGTCATGACTTTTAGACAGTTTTTATCAGAGAACATTCTGAAGCCGAGTTATTTGGAAACAAAGAAAGGGGATCAGCTTGTTTTCTGTTGTATTCCCTCCTGGCAAAGTATCTGTTGGAACTCGGAGCACAAAGGAAGATAGTTTTGATTTGGGTGCAGGACAAATCATAAATTTAATATTAGCAACAGGAGATGGACAGCTCAGAAATATATTTAGCTACAGTTTTGGCCAATATATTGTCACTGATCGTCTTTGGCAGTAATATATCTATTACAGTGTTAAGTAGTTCTTTCAGTGCTCTTATGAGGTTGATTCCATTATAGTATCCTAGCTGGGGAGTTATTATAATAACTTTTCTATTATGATATTGATTTTACAATTGGAGCCTTTCTATAATAGAATCACACTTATTATAGAATTGGTATTGAGTGTTTCAGAAAAGAGCAGAGTGTGTGAGAAGCTTATTGTGAGGTTGTATCTCATTTAGGGGTCCTAACTGTTTCATGGAAGGTAGAATGAAAGCTGCCAGATCTCTTTAAGGAGATACTGTCTTGTCCCATTAAAAAATCACACATGATTAAAGAATGCTGCAGTTCGTAAATTTTATAGTTCCCAGTGGTATATTTTATCTATATTTACCATGCTGTTCCTTCCATGTGGAAGCATGTTAAATACACAGCTGAGATTATTCACTTTATAGAGAATAATGGCAAGCACAACTTGATAATGATTATATTTTGAAGTCAACCTACACTTTAATTTTAAATGAAAGTGAGAAAGGCTCCTTATTTTTTAATGGTAAGGAGTTAAAGAATATTTTTCCAAACCTCAAAACTACCATTTTTTCCAGTCCCTTGCTGGTCTCCATTATAATTTAGAAAAGTTATATTTTTTGTCATAACCTATTTATTTTGTTTTAAGGCTGAAAAATACCCTGTATAGTCTTCCATCTGTGTCAGCAAAATCAGAACTGTCTTTTTGGATTGCTAGAGTTTTATTTGTTTTATTTAGTTTTAAGTCTTCACATATCTTAGAGCTGGATGGGGCCATAATTTTTTAAGAATTATTTGGCTCTTGCTCAGTTCTATGAAGGGAAAGGGAGGTATGCTCATAGTTTCATTTGCTTCAGTGGTTTGAAGATATCCAGGTAGAAGACGTCCGCTGCTAAACTCTGGTTTACTGCTTCTTGGTAAAACCAGCCAGCTACATAGTAGATGAATCTTTCTTAAATTTCAAGTTGTTCTATCACTACGTATCTAAATCCAAGGCACCTCAAGGTGCTTTGACCCAGTCATTAGCCCTTCTGTGCCCTAAACATTTCTGATGCCCTGTAAGAACCTTTCA